AAGCTAGCCATAAAAAACATCAGAGTGTACAACAAGCGTCTTGAAAAATTGTGCTTTAGGGGCTGGGGTTGTGGCTCAGTGGTAGAGCGCTTGCCTAGCTCGTGTGGGGCACTGGGTTCCATCTTYAGCACGACATAAAAATATAAATAAAAAAATAAAATTATAAAAAAAAGTAAGTTTCTTTTTAAAGAAAAAGAAGGAGGGAAGGGAGGAATGGAAGGAGGGAGGGAGGTTACCTTTAGGGAGTGGATGGATGGAATGGATAGAGATAGAGGGGTGCAAGACTTCTTAGACAAAACACAGAGAAGGGGGAACAGCTGGATAAAACCACTGAGAGAAGAGCTGTGGCTCCCAAAGGGCAGAACCCAGGGCACATAGCCAGGGAGTATGGATCCCTTCAGCCTCTTCTGGGATCCACATATACCCATCAGCCTGTTCTTCCTGGACACTGCATGAGACCTAATGTAGCAGCACTTCCTTCCCCAACCGCTCCCCAGCAGGGACTGGCAACTGACTACTGTAATATCCATTCTCTTCTTTTTCCTTAAAAACAAAACTCCARCTTTGAGGCTATAACCTGTCCTGCTAAACGACTGCACTTCCCAGACAAATCTGCAATTGTGGGGGGATCATGTGGTGTGGACATCTTCCAGATGCCTAACACAGAAAAGGGATGCTCAAATAAAATAAGAGTAGCTCACTGTGCAAAGAAGTAAAGCGAATTATCTCAGGAAGCCTTTCCCTAATTTGGTCTGGTTTTTATTCTCTCTTGTTCCTCTGGATAGCAATATTTTTTTWAAATTTATTTATATGTGATGTTGAGAATCGAATCCAGTGCCTCATACATGCTAGGCAAGTACTCTACCACCCCAGCCTCATGGAGAGCAACATTTATATTGAGTAATATTCATCTCTAAAAACCTACTGAAGGGCTGGGGATGTGGCTCAGTGGTGGAGTGCTTGCTTAGTATGTATAAATGTGAGAGGCCCCAGACACACACACACACACAAAAAAAAAACTAACGCTAAGCAGACAGCAAGTGTTTGCCTTTTTATTGACTATTTTGGTTTTGCTGGTTATCTTGTCTAGAGCATAGGGTGRCATATGCTGCCAGATCTTTTCTTCTTAACTCAAGATTTCTGCAGGGTGGTTAAATGAATAATTAATATGCTACATTTCCCAGCCTCTTTTTGTAGTTGGGGGTGACCAATGATGAAGAAACCACCACTGGATGGGGTTTCTGGGAAGGCCTTGTAAAGGGGGATGACTCMGTTTAGTTTTTGCTCTTCTTCCTTTCCCTTTTCTTCCTTCCAGGAATGGTAGGGCATATGGCTGGAGCATTGGCAGCCATTTTGGATAGAAGCCACATGTTAAGAACGAGAGAACAAAGAAGACCCTCATCTCTGATGACTGTAGGGCTGCCATCCCAGTGCTGGTCTTCCACCTCCGTACTTGTTTTATGGGAGGAAACATATTGTTCAAAATTTTGCTGCCTCTCCCCACAAGAAGATTATACATCTCAGCTCCATGGACAGGTGGCTTCCCATATACTTGCTTTGGCYAAAAGAATGTCAGTGAAAATGACACGGACCACTTCTAAACATAAAATTTACCAGAAGCCACTATACTTTCTCTTTTCTTTCTCCTACAAACCAGCAATATTCCAAGKAGGGACAGTTCCCTCCATCTGAATCTTCAATTAAGGCACTATAGAGCAGGCCCACAAATGACCTGCAAAGAACATAGCATGAGCAAAGAATAAATCTTTGTTATAGTAAGCTGTGGAGATGGGGAGTTTGCTATGCAGCGTAACTACCATGYCAATTCCTATGGCCCTCATAATTTGTTTAAGCCACTATTATTTCAGGATTTTGTTACTGCCAGTCAGATGCAATTCCTAACTGATAGCCCCCCATTAGTGATGACTGTCACTTGTCTATGAAAGGGCCTAAATCAGAGCTAATGAATGTTCTCTTTGGTTGCCAGGCAGGCTTTCAAGTTTTCTGGTAGCCACTTCCCTCAATATGTTTCACCTTGTTTCCCACCTGGTACTCATCCCTCTCCTGAGTCTCATCAGGAAATGCTCCTTCTCTTAACTTTTAGCTAAATGGCTTCTGTGAGACTAACTTAGGTTGGGCCTTAAGGTGGATATGGACCAGACTGTGAAAAACAGCCTGAAAGTCATTGGTGGGTACCAATGAAGACATGAACTAATTGTTATAGCAATCTTGCTGCTATGTACAGTTGTCATCCTTATTCTCATTAATATTATTATTACTTATGAAACACTTAGAACAGTGCCTGGCGTATGGGGTGCTACCCAAATTTGCTGCTGTTGTTGTTGTAAGGAAGGCCACAGTGGAAACAGGAAGACCAGCAAGCAGCTATCTCAGTCTCTCATTAAGAGAAAAGATGAATGGGCCAAGTATGGTGGCACATCCCATAATCTCAGCAATTTAGGAAGCTGAGGCAGGAAGATCACAAGTTCAAGGCCAGCCTGGATAACAGTGAGACCCTGTCTCAAAATACAAACAAAAAAGGGCTGATCTCAATCCCCAGTGAAAGAAAGGAAGGAAGGAAGGAAGGAAGGGAGGGAGGGAGGGAGGGAGGAAGAGAGAAAGAAAAAAAGAGAGAAAGAGAGAGAGGAGAGAAAGAGAAAGAAAGAGATAAAGAAAGAAAGAAAAAAAGAGAGAGAGAAAGAGAGAGAGGAGAGAAAGAGAGAGAAAAAGAGAGAAAGAAGAAAGAAAGAGAGGAAGAAAGAAAGAAAGAAGGAAGGAAGGAAGGGGAAGAGAGAAAGAAAGAAAGAAGGAAGGGGAAGAGAGAAAGAAAGAAGGAAGGAAGGAAGGGGAAGAGAGAAAGAAAGAAGGAAGGAAGGGGAAGAGAGAAAGAAAGAAAGAAAAGAAAGAAAGGGAAGAGAGAAAGAAAGAAAGAAAGAAAGAAAGAAAGAAAGAAAGAAAGAAAGAAAGAAAGAAAGAAAGAAAGAAAGAAAGAAAGAAAAAGAGAGAAAAGGATCATGAATAACTTCTGGGTTGTATATGCAGTTCTTTAATGTTTGATCCCTCCCCTTCCATGAGTCTGTCATGGTAGGAACTGATTAGTTGGGGTCATAGATTGGATACAACAGGGTCTTGCTTGCTTCTCCACAAGACACTCAAAACAGTTACTGAATTAATAAGCAGTGCCAGAGTGACATTTTAAAAAGCAAATCTGGATGATTTAAGTTTGAAGAATCCTCTGCTCTCCTCTACTCTATACYGAAGTCCCTCAGAGGAGAGCTGGGACATGGACTGCTGGTTTCCTGGAGACTCCATTTGAAATCCAATAATCAAAACCCATCAAATAAATATCTACTGAACATCCACTATGTGTCAGAAACAGTTCTAGAGGCTGGGGACACAACAGAAACGAGGCAGACAAAATTCCCTGGCTTTAAAGAGCTTAGTGACATTCTAGTGAGAAAGACAATGAATAAATACCTAAAATATGTGATATGATAGATAATGATGTATTTAAAGGGAAATTAAGGTAGGAAGCAGACAGTGAGGGTWATGTGTATTGGAAGGCAATCACAATTTTACATAGGGTGGTGGTCATAAAGGCAAGAACTTTTCAGAGGTAATAACTGGCATAGGCAAAGGCCATGGAGCAGCAATAGAGCCCTGGCATGCTAAATGAACATGGAGTAGGCAGTTGTCACTGAAGCAGAGAGGCAGGAAGGAGGAGATGAGGTTATACAGGTAGTGGGGAACCAGCTCTTGTAGGATTTTGTAAGCCTGCTTTTTTTACTCCATCAGATCTCATCTTGTTTTTTATAGTAAGGTGTGGGCCAGGGGAGGGATCAGAGTAGAAGAGGGCCCTGAACTGGGCTGGGGTTGTGGCTCAGCGGTACAGCGCTCGCCTTGCACATGTGTGGCTCTGGGTTCGATCCTCAGCACCACATAAAAATGAATAAATAAAATGAAGGTATTGTGTCCAACTACAACTGAAAAACAAATATTAAAAAAAAAAAAAAAAGAAGAGGGCCCTGAACTGATTTAGGTCTAGGTTCCCTCTGGCTGTAGATGGAAGAGGCTTGGTGCCAGCAGGGGTGAGAGTAGGGAGACCAGTGAAGAGACTATTAATAGAGTTAAGTTGAAGGAGGAAGTTAGACAAGATCAGATTCTGGATAGATTCTTAAGGGAGAGCCAACAGGATTTGCATATGGACAGGATGAAGAATATGTTCCAGCCCACTTAGGCTAAGATGACCAGACAAACCTGTACTCATTTACCATAGCAAAGAGGGAGTTTGCATACCAGAGAGTCTTGCCAAACAAAGGAAAACATAACATATCTGGGTTTGGGGGAAGAGTGAAATTCAGGTGAAATATAAATGAAGCAGTGTTTAGAAATGTTCAAAGCAAATCAGAACTCTGTGTAAAGGGATCAATATTAGGTCTGGGTTGCAAATTGGGACTAGGTCCCGTCTCCTTGGAAGCACTAAAATTTAGATAGCTGTGGAATATTTGGTCTGGATATCCCTTTTCTGAAGCTTTGAACCTGGGCTATAAATTCAGACCGCTTTTCTCCATCCCCCCACCCCCCCCCCCGGGGTGTTGGGGATCCAACCCAGGGCCCTGAGCTACAATCTCCAGTTCTCCCTATTTTTCTGTATTGAGGTGATTTAGCTCCTCCAGAGTTAGCTATTAAGATAGGAAAGACTGTGAAAGGTTTAGGGAGATAAGAAGCTCAGCTTCAGATATATTGAGGTTGAGATGCCTCTAATGAGTGGAGATGAAGAATGGACATTTTAAGTTATAGAACCTCACCTTTCCTTACATCACCGTCTCCCTTTTCTACTCGTTCAGTTCATTACTTGTGTCTACCTCTGCTGTTTCGCCCATTTTCACCTTCCTACACCCCTCCTGCAAGACCAGATGCCAAAAACAGCTGCATTTCTCCTTGGGCCCCGCCCCTTCCAGGCCCCGCCCCCTAAAGCCCCGCCCCGCGCTTGCGCTCACTTGTAGAAGCTCACTGGGCGGTTGTCTGATCCCAGTTGGCCCGCAGTGTTAGAGCAGTTCGGAGCCCTGCAGTACTTGGGCATGGCTGTCCACCCCGGTTGCTTTTTGCTCGGTCAGAGTCCGCAGTTTACTCCTCGCCGGGAGCAGCCGATTTCCGCCCCTCCCGAGCACTCTCCTCCTGCCTCACGTGACATCCTCGGTGTCATGTGACAGTGGTGTGCTGAGCCGGCTTGCATACCAGGTGTCCCTCCGCGTTACCACTGCTACACCCTGGTCACATGGTTGGTGAGGAAACGCAAGTATATCTACGCAAAACCGGTTCTACGCCACTCTAACCTTCATCACGTGTTTAGGGAAAGGCGGCGTCCTAGGGTTTCTGAGCCTGCGCCCACCAAGTCCTCTGGGTCTGCAGGCTCTTTCCGCTCCACCCTAAACCAGCATCGGGCGACTGCCATAGCCCGGATAGTCGTCCCGGTGGCAGCAAAAAACAAAGGAGAGGGCTATGGCCTTAGCCTAGTAAAGTTAATCACTGTACATTCCGAAGAATGAGAAAAACAGTTTGAACGAGAAGCCCCAAAATGCTTGATCAGAACCGAAGAGATTGGCTGCAGCCCCGCCCTGCCTGGTACTCTGGCTCCGCCTCTTAGCTCCTATTGGTCCTGATCGCCGTCCGGCCGCCCCGAGATTGGCCAGACGGGTGGCTGCCGCGTCCAATGGGCAGCGCCGCCGGCTTTCCCGCGGCTATTCACTATTCGAGTGGGTCGTGGCGGCCGCGGCGGTTAAAGAGCATAACGGTCGCTGGTCTCCGATGCGACGATGGCTGCCTTAGGGCCGGGAGGCTACGCGCGGAATGATGCAGTCGAGAAGCTGCCATCTATCATGGGGGGAATTCCAGCGCGAAGAACCCAGTCCCCCCCGCCCCCTGCCCCACCACTCTGCCTCCGGCGGCGGACACGACTCTTGACGGCGCCCGAGGACACCGTGCAGAACCGGGTGAGAAGCTGCTGGCCCTGTCCACTCCAATTCCAGCCTTCTTTGGGCCGTACCCTGTTCATCCCTAAGCTCTTTGGCCCCGCCCATCAGTTCCCGCCTATTGGTCCCCTCAGGTTGCTCCCTAGCCCCGCCTCATCACGGAAGTTCCGCCCCCTTTGAGCATAAGGCTCTTCCCACTTTCCGCTGCCTCCTCTCTTGGGTGCTGCTCTTGGTTCTTGGCTCTACCCTCAATATTGGAGCGTTCTTGGGGTTTCTTCGGATTCCAACTCCTGGAAAAGCATTTTGCTTCTACAAATCACTGCCTAGACCCATCTTCCTGGATAAGCCCCCATTCAATCACCTTTAAACACTTCTCGTCCAGTCACCTGCCCCATCTCAACTTCGTTCTACTCTGCATTCTCTCATATCTTGCCTTCTGCTTCCTTTTCCCTAACTAAGGTGGGATTCTTATTCCATATTCCCTCTCAAAACTATGGCAAGGAAGTGAATAATTATTTCTAAAATGTCAGCAGTGCGGCTTGGGGAGGAGGGCGTACAGGATTTTAGTATCCTAAATTCTGAGACACAGAAACACAGAAAGGAATTACTTTAGAGTAGGTAGAAGGAATTCCCTTAGCACACCAGCAATTTAAGAAAAAAAAAAAAGTGCTCTTTAACTCCTTAGGCACAAAAATCTGTTTTTATAAAATGGAGATAACTTGGGGGCTGGGGTCGTGGCTCAGTGGTAAAGTGCTTGCCTAGCATGTGTGAAGCACTGGGTTTGATTCTCAGCACCGCATATAAAGAAATAAAGGTTCATTGATATTAAAAAAATATTTTTAAAAAATTAAGAAAATAAAATGGAGATAACAACCATATCACAATGTTGAAGGAAGATGAAATTGTAACTGTGACCTTGACACAGAGCGTAGATAATAGGTGAATATGTGGCAGCTGCTGGTGTATATTATTGCTGCTTTGTGGGTTTCTGCTGTCTTTGTACTGCCTACTCCTGGCTGCATGATTGTGGGCAGGTGGCCCTTGCCCACCTTTCTGTCTCTACCTCCCATGTTCTCTGTCTCCCCAAAGTCCTGTAAAACTTCCTGATTGCTTTCTATATTTTATTTATTTTGTAATTTGTTTTATGTATTTTTATGTGCTGAAGATCAAACCCAGTGCTTTAAACCTGTGAGGCAGGCGTTCTACCATTGAACTACGACTTCAGTCCCATATTGTTATGAGGTGACTGCTCAGAAAACATACTGCTCAGAAAACACACTAAGTACGAATTTGAAACAAATAAAAGAATTTTATCTCTTTTCCTGACCAGAGACACTTCTGACAGAGTCCGAGTGGCTCTCTGAAAGAAGCACCTCAAACTGTTTGTGTTCGAAATATTTAAGGAAGAAAACCACATCCCATGGAATTTTGCAAATTGCAAGCAAGCAGAGTACAGGGGCTGAGAAGGCAGTTAGCAGAGCAAATACAGACCACCATATCCTGGGGACTTTACATTTGTGGGCACACAAAGTATAGGTGGGTGCACAAATTGCAGAAAGACAATTTTTTATCATCTTAGAAATAGCTTAACATTATTTATTATATAACACATCACATAATCCTATTTAATATTTCATAACCTATAATATATAATTTATAATCTATATTGATTAAGCTCAGACCATAATAATATACTGCCTGCTTTCTGTTTTTCTGGAGCTCCAAGTTCCTTTCTGCCTCCTAGCACTTGTGGTGGGTGAATCCTCTACCTGGGCTTTTTGCTACAGTCTGCCTGCCTTCCTGGCTTCTCTTCTCTCAGTCTCATCCTTGAGTATTCCTACTCAGAGAGACTTTCTCCAGTCTCAGTCTAAAGCAGACACCTGCTTTGATCTCTTATTAAGTGCCCTATACTTCATTGCCCTTATATGTTCATGAAAGTGTTTTATGAGCTCTTAAACTTGTATGGGAGAATAACAGTAGTAAATACAAAGAGGCAGTATAACAAGGTAATTAAGTGCACAATCTCTAGACTCAGACTGCCTGAGCTTGAACATTAATTCTGCTCTTCTTAACAAGTTTGGAACTTTTTTTTTTTAATTTTCCTCACCTGTAAAATGAGAAGAATGATGTGGAAATCCCTCATAGGGTATTTGTAAGGATTATAGGAGTTCACAGTCCTTAAGCATTTAGAATAACACCTGGCATATTTGCATATACTCTTATTAGTGTTAACTAATGCTGTTATTACTGTACTTGGGTAGTGTCACTTATTTTTCTTCTTTTGCAGACACATAAAACATTAGCTGGGTGCCATGGCACACACCTCTAATCCCAGCAACTCAGGAGGCTGAGGCAAGAAGATCACAAGTTCAAGGCCAGCCTGAGCAACTTAGTGAGTCCCTATCAAAATAAAAAGCTCAGTGGTAGAATACCCCTGGTTTCAATCCCCAGTACCAACAAAACAAAACAAACAAAATCCAGCATAAGTGTCATGGCTGTGTTAGAATCCTGGCACTCCTTTCTGGATGGATAACCCCTCTGGGCCCCTGTTTTATCTCTAAGACAGGAATAACAATGATAGTAATTATATCATAGGGTTATTGTGAGTATTAAATAAGTTAATACAGCTTATAGGGATTGGAATAGCACCTGGCTACCGGGAAATGCCCAGTAAATGTTAGCTACTCTATATTTGCTTTTCAATTCTGAAGCCAGTGACTTGGTTAAGGATCACTGACTATAAGAAAAAAATAATCGATTAAAATATGAAAGTACCGTACTTATATAAATTGTTCAGTCAATTATGATTGAGTCTGACCCATTTAACTTATCTTTGAAAATTTAAAAAACATTTTTTAAATTTTTTAAAATATTTCTTTATATCTCTCGTGGTACTGAGGATTGAACTCAGGGGCCCTCTACAAGTGAGCTTTATCCCCTGCCCTTTTATTTATTTATTCTTAAAATTTTGAGACAGGGTTTCACTAAGTTGTCAAGGTTGACCTCAAACTTGTGATCCTCCTGCCTCAGCCTCCCAAGTAACTGCAATTAAAAGCATGTGCAATCGTGCCCTTTGAGTTTTACTTTTTTAAAATATGACCATCCTCTTGTTTCTTTGCTTATTGAAACTTCTAGAACCTCCAGACATTGAATTTTTTTCTTTAGTACTGGGGATCAAACCCCAGGGATCTCTACTACTGAGCTTTATCTTCAGTACTTTTTTTTTGGCAGCGGGGGTGGGGGGAGGGTACCAGGGATTGAACTCAGGGGCACTGGACCACTGAGCCACATCCCCAGCCCTTTTTTGTATTTTATTTAGAGACAGGGTCTCACTGAGTTGCTTAGCACCTTGCTAAGTTGCTGAAGGTGGCTTTGAACTCACAATCCTACTGCCTCAGCCTCCCAAGCTGCTGGGTCACAAGCGTGCATGCCACCACACCCAGCTCTTTTGATACTTTTTGTTAGAGTCTTACTAAGTTGTTCAGGCTGACTTTGAACTTGTGATTCTCCTTCCTCAGCTTCAGCTACCCAAGTTCCACCACATCAGGCTAGACTTTGATGAGGGAAAGTGTCTATTTTTGTTCACTGCTCTGTTTCCCCTGCAAGGCCCAAAGTGCCTAGGTTTATATCCCAATCTTGCTACTCCCCAGATGCAGAATCTTGGACCTCAGTATCATTGGCTATAAATAAGAGTGGTCATAATACCTTCTTCCCTGGTTTGTTCTGAGGATTCAAGTCTTACATCCATGATGACAAATACCTAGAATCCCAGCTACCTGGGAGGCTGAGGCAGGAAGATTTCAAGTTTGATGCCAGCCAGGGCAACAGCGAAACTCCAACATAGAGAAAGTACTTAGAAACTTATTCAAATGTCATCTTCCCACTATGGCATTCTCCTTCCCCTCCCCCTGCAATCTCAGTCTCCTTCCCTGTGTTTTTCTCTGTTGCTTCTATCATCACCTCACATCTATTCTGCATATATGTTCTGTTCCTTTTCTATGTCCTCCATCTACATCACCATCAATGTGTGAACTCCAAGAAGATAGGGATTTTTGTCTGTCAAAAGAGTGTTAAGGGCTGGAGTTGTGGCTCAGTGGCAGAGCGCTTGCTTAGCATGTGTGAGGCGCTGGGTTCGATTCTCAGCACTGCATATAAATCAGTAAAATAAAGGTCCATCGTCTAAAAAAAATTTTTTTTAAAAAAAAGAGTGTTAAAAAGAATAAGTGGTGGGCTGGGGTTGTGGCTCAGTGGTAGAGCGCTCACCTAGCACACAAGAGGCATTGGGTTTGATCCTCGACACCACATAAAAATAAATAAATAAGGGTGTTGTGCCCATCTACAACTAAAATATATTTAAAAAGAGCAAGTGGTAGTTGCTGTGGGTAGCATGACTGCAGAAACTCTGAGTGTTTGTTGAATATAGCAGGAATTGCATCAGTAGCCAAGACAGCTGCGCCATGGGGGCTTGCTGGGGCAGGTGCTTCTGACTTGGGCCTTTTCTTTGCAGGTGTCACTTGAGAAGGTGCTTGGCATCACAGCCCAGAATAGCAGTGGTCTAACCTGTGACCCTGGCACAGGCCATGTGGCCTACCTTGCAGGGTAAGTACATGATGGGCTTGACATCTCATCATTGCAAGAGAATTTGAAATCTGAAGTCATTGGTGATTTCTCTAGAGCTACGATTTCCTATTTGTAGAATGTGGATAATGCTGCTTTTCTCTAAGGGCTGTGGAGAGGATTCCATGAACCCATCTGGGTCTAGAACAGTACTCAGCATATAGTAGACATTATAAAGTCTGCAAGTGGGAGATGGCAGAGATTCTGGGAAATACATGTGGTTAAAACCAAAAATGTGGTTTTAACCCCAATATGTATTCTGCTTCTGTCTCTATAAGACTGAACTAATGATACCTCCACTTGGGTAGTTGAGGACTGAGGATCAGACAGCTGTGTATCCCATAAATACTGATCTAATGTGGCACTGATCTAGGCACCAAAGGGACCACCCCAGCAAGGTAGGGCAGGGAAGATCCAAGGTAATTCCTGATGAACAGTTTCTGTTGTTGAATTTGAGGGGAGCAGTTCAGGATAGAGGACAAGGGTGGGCTTTTAAATCTAATGGGGAAGATTTCACATCACTATTCTGTTCCTGATCTGCTGAGTGGGCAAAGGACTTCCTGTCCTTGGGCTTCAGTTTCCTCATCTATGAAATGGGTCTAAGGAGTCCTGACCTTACCTGGTAGTTTGGAGGATTTAAAAAGATTATAGACATAAAAAAAAAATCTTTATTAGCTTAGGACCTGACAGAATAGTTTCCATATAGGCAGTGTTGGTTTCTATTTAAGAATTTATTAATAATGTTAAGTACCCCAGAATTCTCAGCATTAAAATCTAGAGAAGGGGTTGGGGCTGTAGCTCAGTGGTAGAGCACTTACCTAGCATGTATGAGGCACTGGATTTGATCCTCAGCACCACATTAAAAAAGTAAATAAACAAAATAAAGGTATTGTGTCTATCCAAAAAAAAAAAAAATCTAGAGAAGACCAGAAAAAAATCTTCTGTTCAGAGGAGCCCTATTGATGTATGGTTTTTTTTTTTTTTTTTTCTGTTGGGATAGAATCATACTGGATACCAGTGCCCCGCTCATACACACTATTTTAATAAGCATGTTTTCCTATTTCTCCACAGCTGTGTGGTGGTGATTTTGAACCCCAAGGAAAACAAGCAGCAGCACATCTTTAATACTGCCAGGTAGGCTGGGGCCTGGGCATGGGATGGAGGGAATCAGGGTCTTGGGACCTGTCCTCCACAGAGCCTGAAGTGCTCATGGGTAGGTGACTCACTCATGCACTCAACCGTTAGTTCAGCCTCATTCACCAAGAGTCCACTCTGTGCTAGGTACTGTTCCACGTGCTGGTGATAACAGCAATGAACAAAAGTGATGAGAATCTCCGCTTTCTAGAGCTAACAGCCCAATACAGGAGAATCTGAAAACCAGTTGGCAAATTACTAGCTCATCATGATTGGTGACATGGAGGAAATGATGAGGGATGTGCTAGGACAGAGAATGTGAGAAATCCACTTCTGAGGACTCAGGGAAGTCCTCCCAGGGTCTGAGACTTGAAGGAAGTGAGAGGGTGACTCATGACAACAAAGGGAAAACACCTAGGCAGGAGAGATGGCCAGGGCAAGGACTCTGCAATGGTGAAGGGTATGGCAATGTGAGAAGCAGCCATAGTTTGTTCACTGTGTGATCTTAGGTGAGAAACTTCTTTCTGGGCTTTGGCCTACTCTGCAAGTAAAATAGCTGCCACCATTTGTGAGAGCATCCTTAAGAAAATAATCATAAATCAGGTGCCCATAGACTTGCCCAACAGTGTTCTAAAGATTGGAATTAGTCAACAACACCTAAAGTTGTTTATATAAAAATAAATATCCCTCTCATTTTGGAAAAAAATGAGAAATTCTGGCCTGAGGCCCATAGTTCACTTGTAGCAGTGGATGGGCTGGATCTTGACGGCATTTGTCAGACCTCTCTTAATAAGTTTCTCTCATCTATGTTCCCTGTAGGCGGTGAAGTAGGTGACCCTGACCTGAAGTGGAGGCCACGAATGTGCCTACTCTCAGCCTTCAGTGGGTCTATCTTAGGACGTGGTGTGGCCAGTGAAGGACTTTTTTTCCCTCTGACTGCATTTCACAATCACCTGATCCCTGGGCCTCACCCCCAGAGAAATCTGAATTTACTGGTCGGATGAGACCTGGGCATTGGCAATATTTAAACTTTATATTGAAATAGGTTCAGACTTACAAGAATAGTACAAAGAGGGCCTCTCATTCTTTATCAATACACATTCTTTCTAAAGTATTTGAGAGTAAGTTGCAAACATGATGCCTCTGTCTCTATATACCTCAGTGTTTATTTTCTACGAAACAATTATGATATAATCCTTCAAAAAACAATAAATCCCTAGGCAGGAGGATGGCAAGGTACATCACTACCATCTACTTCTCATATGACTCCAAGTTTCACCACTTATTCCAAGGCTGTCCTTTATAGCCAAAAGATTCTATACACATTGAGTTGTGCTTTCAGTCTCCTTCAGCCTGAAGTATCTCTTCCATCTTTTCTTAATTCTCAACACCTTGACATTTTTAAGGATTGCAGATCAGATATTTTGTAGAATATCAACACTTGGATGTGTTTGATGTTTCCTCATATGTAGATTCAGGTCCTGCATCTTTGGCAGGAACACCACAGGAGAGCTGTGTACCTGGTGGTGTTCATGTGGCGCTCTAGGTTAAGGTGGTGTCTGCCAGACTTCCCTACTGCAAAGCCTCTTTTTTTCCTCTTTGTGATTATAAATTATCTTGGAGGAGTCTTCTATGAGAGTGGGCATATATTTTTCCATTTTCTCACCACGTTTCCACTTAACTGGTCTTAGCATAACCTGACCATTTTTTAAAAGCTCCCTTGGGAATTCTGATGTGCAGCCTAGAGGTTAGAACATTGCCCTGTCTGSTTGAATGACCTTGGGCAGGGGACTTCCCTTTGTTGAAGTATCATTTGCAAAAATTGGCTAATGAGAGTCCATATTCCCTGGTATATGCTGGAGGAATCTGCAGTGATGCCCATACAGAGTTTGCCAGAGGGCCAGGCACGGGGTCAGAGCATGCAAGTGGTTAGAGGTGGCTACAGACAACAGAAACCCCCCTATCATGCATGGCTTAAAACACAAAGATGTTCTTTCTACATATAAGAATTCTGAGGGTGGGATGTTGTTTCTGTGAGCATCAGAGACCCCAGTCCTTTGGTTTTTCTRTTTTACCACACTTATTTTGAGGCTTCTGTTCCTGAAGTCACCTCATGGCCTGTGCTGGAGTTCTGGCTGTCATGTCCTTATTTCAGGAGGGAAGCAGGTGGTGATTAGGGCAAAAGGTTCACTTGAGAAACCTTTCTGGAAGTCATAAATAGCATGTCAATTTCCTTCTCATTGGCCAGACTGTCATGTAGCCATCCTTGAGTAGCTTCAAGAGAAGTGAGGAAGCTGGACAAGGTGGCATATGCTTGTAATTGCAATGGGTGGGGAGGCTGAGCTAAGAGGACCCACGAGTTCAAAGCCAGCCTCAGCAAACGTGAGGTGCTAGCAACTCAGTGAGACCCTGTCTCTAAATAAAAAATACAAAATAGAGTTGGGGATGTAGATCAGTAGTTGAGTGTCCCTGAGTTCAATCCTTGGTACAAAAAAAAAAAAAGGTGAGGAAATGTACTCTAGTCAGGAACATCAACATCCCAATTAAAACTGGGGCTATATTAGTAAGAAGGAGGATCGAGGGGACAATGGATTAAACAGCTCACCCTATCCTCTGCTATAAGAATTGATGGAAAGTTACCTGAGGGTGGACTCAAAAATAGATGTTCTCTGAGGTTGTCAAAGACTAACCCAGAAAATTAGATGTGGTGCACACCTGTAACCGCAGCTATTTGGGAGACTGAGGCAGGATTGATTGAGTCCATGAGTTCAAGTCTAGGCATTTACTTAGTTATCTGTATACTCATTTACTAACTGATTGAGGGAGACTGTTAAGGAACAAAGGTAAAACAAGATTAAAAGGGAGAAGAAGAAGAAAATGATACAATGTGGGAACAGTAAATCTTGCTACCACAAAATGTGCCAACTTGTCTGGTCATTCAGTTCTTGGGAAGACTATCTATGAGAATCAGAGAAAAACATGTCGGCCATTTATGGGTTTTCCAGAACACCTTGAGCATTTAGCAGTGGAGCACATGCTGCAGGCTGTCTTGGGGTGATGGCTGCCAGTATCCTCCCATCAGCATCACTTTTTTAGTTAGGCCAGGTCTGTACCATTTCCTGCATCTGAGTTTCTCAAAGTTACTGGGTGRTAGGTTCTTGGGAAGCTCACCCCTGCATAAAAAGAAGAAAGCAGGGTCCCTGTACAGTGTCTATCCTATTTGGGTTGGGTGTTCAAGGAGGAAGAGGTCTTGTTTTTAACACCCATTTCTCTGACTGCTGTGTTGGGCACACAGTGGCACTGGTGTGTGGGAGCTTCTCACACTCAGCTCTCCTGGCCTCTTCCTAGACTGGGGAGCCAGGAATGGGCAGATTGCTGAAAGCACAGCCATCTCAGTGGAACCAGTTATCAATTCCTTTCCTTGTCCCCAGGAAGTCTCTGAGTGCCTTGGCCTTCTCCCCTGATGGGAAGTTCATAGTGACGGGGGAGGTGAGTCATGATCACAACTGAGCAGGTGGGGAGGGTCTAGGGGGTCATTCCTTGTGCTCCTAGCAGGCCTGGGAGTCCCTGGAATGACACCTGCCTGGGCCAAAAAAGCTCAGTGACAGATGGGGGAGGGAGGGAGCTTTTTCAGTACACCCTGTGGCAAAGCCAACCTCAGACCTGACAGTCCCTCTAGCCTTGCCTGGTACACAGCCCAGCAGCAGTAATGGCCTCACCTTCCCCAGAACGGGCACAGGCCAGCCGTGCGCATCTGGGATGTGGAGGAGAAAAGCCAGGTGGCAGAGATGTTGGGCCACAAGTATGGTGTGGCCTGTGTGGCCTTCTCGCCCAATATGAAGCACATCGTATCAATGGGCTATCAGCATGACATGGTCCTCAACGTCTGGGACTGGAAGGTAAGAGTTGACAATGGGCATATGGGYGGGCAGCCAGTTGCCAGATCATCCTGAGTCTTAGGCATTGGAGGAACTGAATGAGATAACTTGATAAATGCTCATTCAGCCAGCAAATATCAACTAGCCCCTACTATCTCCTGTCTTTTTTGTTCTGCAGCACTTATTGTGTCGTTCTGAGATCACTTTATGGCCCCAAATGGAGTTCCTGTTGCCTTGTCCTTATTTCAGGAGGGGAACAGGGTACCCTTTTTGTAGGGCTCATGACAGCATCTCATCTAGTGGAATTATTAGAATTATTTTTATATTGATCAGCTGTCACCTTAATCTGCAAGGGTTACCTCATTTCTGAAATATCTATAATAGTACCTGCTTTGTTAGGTTGTGAGACTTCGTTGAGTTGCCACATACTGGAAGTCTGGCCTTTAGAATAGCTGGAAAAGGGCTTGGTGTCAGCAAAAGTGGATACCAAGATCTGGCTATGCCCATAACCTACTGTGTGACTTTGAACACATGACATTCCCCTCTACTACCCCACAAGCCTGGTAGGGTGGAGGAGACCTGCCTCCCTCATAGGAGGCACTTTGAGTGGATTGTATAAGTTATCCTGTAGAGGGCTCAGGGAAGGCTCAGAATGGAGCCCCGTTTSTGACAACCAGAGGTGTGTTGTCCTTACCCCCAGCTGTGTCTTCTCTAATATTATGTGTAAGCTGCAGAGCTTGGACCCTCGAGGAAAGCTCTGGAACTTGCTCTCTTCTGGGGACCTTTCCAAGTCTCAGTCTCTTCCCTTAGTTACTAGAAATTACAAGAGTCACACATAGATTTCCTTAGAGAGCACCTCATTTCAGGGTCCAAGGAAAACAGAGCAGGGAGACCCAGGGCTGAGGGCCAAGGCACAAAGAATCCCATGGGGTGGGTGCTGTCACGAGCTTCTCCCTGCACTGTTTTGTTGTTGTTGTTTTTTTCCCAGAAAGACATTGTAGTGGCCTCCAACAAGGTATCATGCAGGGTCATTGCCCTCTCCTTCTCTGAGGACAGCAGTTATTTTGTCACTGTGGGGAACCGACATGTGAGGTTCTGGTTCTTGGAAGTCTCTACTGAAGCAAAGGTGAGTTTTGGGTCTTTGCCACCTTAGCCAGGCCCTAGCAGAGTCACCATCAGCAGCATGAGGCTCTGATTTCTATCTGAGATTTGGCGGGCAGTGGTCTCAGGTCGTCAATCCTCTCAGGGTTCCAGGTGCTGACTGGCAGGCCCTGCAGAGACCTCACGACTCTGAGGCCAAATCTCATTCTTGGACCAATACTTTTCTACCCTTCTACCCAGAAGTGTGGTTCTGTTTTTCTTTTCTTCTCCACTTTAAGGAGTTTCTTAGAGTCCCCCTGTTTAACTGTATAGATACGGGACGCATTATGGCCCTGTCAGGGGCTAGAACATATATACAGCACCTCACTGTGCTCTGCTCTGCCTCCAGGTGACAGGCACAGTGCCCTTGGTGGGACGTTCAGGCATCTTGGGTGAGCTTCACAACAACATCTTCTGTGGTGTGGCCTGCGGTCGGGGCCAGATGGCAGGCAATACCTTCTGTGTGTCCTACTCGGGCCTGCTCTGCCAGTTCAAYGAGAAGAGGGTGCTGGAGAAATGGATCAACCTGAAGGTACCCCCACGCCCTCTCGGCCAGCAGTGAGGAAACTGTTCTTTTCCATGCAGTGTGTCTCCAGGGGTGCTTAGCATCATCCCTGCTGGTGACTGACCACCTAAGTTCAGGATGTGTGGCTTCCCCTCTCTAAGCCCCAGTTTCCTTATGTGTTAAATAGGAATTCTGCTGCCTCCTTCACAATTGATAGGGAAGAGAATATGTGTAAAGGACTTGCCTGAAAGGGGGTCAAGGTCACAGTTGTTTTCTCATCACTGTTAGATCTGTTTCACGTTTCTCTTCTTTACTGAACACTCTTGGCTCAAGTTTTTTTAAAAATCAAATTTATTAAATCTAAAATGATATTGACTTAATTATTTTTTTTATTTTTTTTAGTTGTATATGGACACAATACCTTTATTTATTTGTATGTGGTGCTGAGGATCAAACCCAGTGCCCACACTTGCAAGGCAAGCACTTCACCACTGTGCTATAGCCCCAGCCCAACTTATTTATTTTTCAATCAAAAAAGACTATGCAAAATACATAAAATCTTGGGCTGGGGATGTGGCTCAAGCGGTAGCGCGCTCGCCTGGCGTTCGTGCGGCCCGGGTTCGATCCTCAGCACCACATACCAACAAAGATGTTGTGTCCGCCGAGAACTAAAAAATAAATATTAAAAAAAAATTCTCTCTCTCTTTCTCTCCTCTCTCACTCTCTCTTAAAAAAAAAAATACATAAAATCTTAAACTAAACAACAATTACTCAATAAACTGCAGATTTTCTTTTCTTAAGTATCTGAAGGTTTGAGTTCAAGCTATCTTCCCACCCCAACCTTGGTTGCTTATTTGGCTGTTTGAAGGAACAACTCAGTTTCCACTCCTCCTAGCCTGCTCTTGTGACTCGCCTCTAGTTTAGGATTAATGGAATGTAAAGAATTACAGGCTTTATCTGTCCTAGGTAACACAACAGCATTTTGGATTTTGTTTTTGTTTTCCCCATTTCAATCCTTGCTAAAACATAAGCAGATTTCAAGCCAAAAATCATCTGGGTTTTTTTGTTTGTTTAGTTAGTTGGTTTTTGTTTTTGTTTCATTACTGGAAATTGAACTTAACCACTGAGCTACATCCCCAGACCTTTTTATCTTTTATTTTGAAACAGGGTCTGGCTAAGTTGTTTGGGGCCTTGCAAGTTGCTGAGGTTGGCCTCAAATTTGTAATCCTCTTGCTTCAGCCTCCCAAGATGCTGGGATTACAGACATTGCCACTAGTCCCAACTAGGTCAAAATCTTCTGGCCAATAGAGTTTAGTGCTTGAGCACCAAAAGACTCGTGAAGTTCCTCTTGTTATGGAAAAGCTTCTTTAACCTGTATCTAGAAGTCTGGCTGGCGCTTGCTGCCCCTTCTTATCTACATGTCCTGGTAGGATAGACAGTCCTTCCTATAGACTAAGTTTTTTCTGGACTCCTTTAATCTTTATGAAAATGTTTTTAAGTAGCACTAAAAAATGACAAAATCATGGAATTYGCAGGGAAATGGATGGCACTAGAACAGATTATGCTTAGTGAAGTTAGCCAATCCCTAAAAAACAAATACCAAATGTCTTCTTTGATATAATGAGAGCAACTAAAAATAGAGCAGGGAGGAAGAGCAGGAAGAAAATATTAACATTAAACAGAGACACGAGATGGGAGGGAAAGAGAGAGAAAAGGGGAATTGCATGGAAATGGAAAGAGACCCTCATTGTTATAAAAAACTACATATAAGAGGTTGTGAGGGGAATTGGAAAAAAAAAAATGACAAAATCATGGAATTCGCAGGGAAATGGATGGCACTAGAACAGATTATGCTTAGTGAAGCTAGCCAATCCCTAAAAAACAAATACCAAATGTCTTCWTTGATATAATGAGAGCAACTAAGAATAGAGCAGGGAGGAAGAGCAGGAAGAAAATATTAACATTAAACAGAGACACGAGGTGGGAGGGAAAGGGAGAGAAAAGGGGAATTGCATGGAAATGGAAAGAGACCCTCATTGTTATAAAAAACTACATATAAGAGGTTGTGAGGGAATTGGAAAAAAAACAAGGAGAGAAACGAATTACAGTAGATGGGATAGAAAGAGAGGGGAGGAGGGATAGTAGAGGATAGGAAAGATAGCAGAATACAACAGTTACTAGTATGGCATTATGTAAAAATGTGTATGTGTAACCGATGTGATTCTSCAATCTGTATTTGGGGTAAAAATGGGAGTTCATAACTCACTGAAACTAATGTTTGAAATATGATATGTCAAGAGCTTTGTAATGTTTTGAACAACCAATTAAAAAAAAATGTGTGATATATTCCCATAAAAAAATGTTTTTAAGTAATTGGGAATAAGATTTAAGCCTAAGCTGTGGGTTCTTATGATGTTGTTTTATTTAAAAAAAAAAAAAGACTTAAGCCTAAATTTTAACCTGGTTACTGCAGGTGGCCTATCTGAAGTTGTAGTCTGCTGAAGAGATACTTTCCACAGCTAAGTTCCTCTATAGACAGCAATGACAGCTCTGTCCCAACTTGTGCCTCTGTCCACCTGCTGGCACATTTCCTTCAACAGTGACTATAAACTGTATCCTGATTTCAAAAATCTTAAAATGTGTCCAAATAGGTTCTTAGATCCAAGGAATTATGAGTCTTCTCCTGAGGCCCATGACTGCTTTCTCAGTCCCTGTGTTCCTGGGTCAGAATACATAATGCACTAGATCTAATTAGGTCCACCCGCTCTGTCCTCAAAGGTCTCCATGTCTTCTTGCCTCTGTGTCAGTGAGGATCTCATCTTCTGCGGCTGCACAGATGGGATAGTCCGAATTTTCCAAGCCCACAGCCTTCACTACCTCACCAACCTGCCCAAGCCACACTGCCTTGGGGTGGATGTGGCACAGGGCCTGGAGCCCAGGTACTATTCAGCAGGGGGAGACGGAGGACCCACTCAGATCGTGTTGTGGGCATCCATGGCACTTCTGGATCTGTCTGCCCAGGTGTCCATCCTGCAAATACTAGTTATTACTCTTAGTCCTGGGCATTACTGCCATGAATAAAACAGAAAAGTTCTGCCTCTGGAGACAAGCTCCAAGGAGAGAAAGGAAGCTGAGTTGGGGAAGGAGTAAACAAAATAACTTTAGGTAGTAGTTAAGTGCCTCGAAAAAGAAAAACCCAGGGCAGGCATGAATATAAGGGAATATGTTCCTCCATGTTGCTAACATTTATTAAGCAGTCATTTAATAAATAACATTTATTAATTGCCATCCTTAGGCTGGAAGCAGGAAAATAAGACAGCAAAATCCCTGCTACCATGAAGCCTATAGTGTGGTGAGGGAGCTCTATGATAATGAAGTACTCAGATAAGATCATGTCACATAATCACAATGCTCTGGTGAAAGAGCAGGACATGGGAAGGAGAGTGCCCTGGAGGGGGAGAGCTGTGTCCATTGGGTGTCTGGTGAGGAGGAGCCAGCTGTGTGGAGAGCAGGGTCCCAAATGTAAAGGACTACAGGGGACAACACACTGGCATGGTTTGTTGCAGGAATAGGGAGGGGCTGTGCGACTGGAGCCTAGTATGCTGGGACAGGGTGGTAAGAGATGAGGTTGAGCACTGGGAGAGGCCAGTGGGAGGACTCTATTTGAGGTCAGGGGGCAGCCACTAGAGTTACATGAGCAGGCCTTACATGTTAGATCCCTTGGCTGCAAGTCTGATCTATGGAGTAGGGGTGGGCGATGCCCAACCAAGGAGTACTGGGGGCCTGGGGCTACCTCTTTGTGCATTTCTAGCCCTAACTCTTGGGTTCCTTTTCTAAGAAAGAGCCTGGAAGTGCTAACTGGGTTTTGTCTTGAAGGAAAGAAAGGGTGGGTAGCTACCCACAGGCCATGGCATGTTGAAGTAGCCTCTGCCACCTTCTGTCGTGTGCTCTGGGCCTTAGGCAGGTCAGTGCACCTCCCTGTGCCTGTTTCTTCATCTGTAAAACAGAGTACCTGTTTTAGTGGTTGTGAGAATTCAGGGCACATAAACTTTCCAGCCTAGCATGTAGTAAGTGCTCAGTAAACTGTAGCCTTTGTAAGGAAGCCCCAAACCAAGGGACAGCTCCCCAGCCTCCTCACAGAGGTATTTGAATCATGTGTTGGTGAGGCCTAGGAGAGAAGAAAGGCGTCCTGAAGTGTATGTTCATTTTCCTTCCATGCTCCAAAGAAAAGAAAATGGGAGTTTGGGTAGACTAGAATGAACAAAGGGCAAAAAGTGTCAATAGGAATCAAAACCTCAAAATTTTCTCAGAGGCCCATTGCAGTTTGTAACCTCTATGAGAAGCCAAAGTGAAGTAAAGGAAGAGGGAGGAGGGAGACRTAAAGTTAGAATAGGAGAGATACAAGGCCAAAATACTTGAGGGATGGCATTGCCAGGTAGGGGGCGGCTCCTGTGTTCCAGAGATGACTGTCACTACTCAACTGTGACATAATGGTAATTGATGATCCATGTGGCCTTGTTAGCTTCCTCTTCTGCAGGAAGGCGGAAGCAGTCTACCCAGATACAGTGGCACTGACCTTCGACCCCATCCACCAGTGGCTGTCCTGTGTGTATAGAGACCACAGCATCTACGTCTGGGACATCAAGGACATCAATAAAGTGGGCAAGATGTGGTCAGAACTCTTCCATAGCTCCTATGTCTGGAATGTGGAGGTGAGCCCACTCTTCTTCTCTCTACCCCTACTCAACTCTCATTTGGAAACTCAAGGAGTAGAAACTTCCATAGAGTTTAGAGAACCCATTCAACCATTTCTTCAAAGATAGTCATTGACCCTCATGCCAAACCCTCTTTTTTTCTTCCCCAATACTGGGATTTAACCTAGAGGTGCTTTACCACTGAGCCACATCCCAAACCCTTTTTATTTTTATTTTTTTATTTTGAAACAGGGTCTCTCTAAATTGCTGGTCTCAAACTTGCAATTCTCTTGCCTCAGCCCCCAGAGTCACTGAGATTATAGGCATAATATATATTATGCTCCACCCCACCTGACAGAAATTTATTTTCAGTAGCCAAATTCTGGATTATAAGAAAAAACTTTGTTGCCAGGTGTGGTAGTGCACATCTGTAATTCCAGTGGCTTAGGAGGCTGAGGCAGAAGGATTGCAGGTTAAAAGCCAGCCTCAGCAATTAGTGAGGCCCTAAGCAACTTAGCAAGACCCTGTCTCTAAATAAAAGATAAAAAGGAATGGGGAGGGGCTGGAGTTGTGGCTTAGTGGTAGAGCACTCTACCTAGCATGTGCGGGGCCCTGGGTTCAATCCTCAGCACCACAAAAAAAAATAAATAAATAAAATAAAGGTATTTAAAAAAAAAAGGCTGGGGATGTGGCTCAGTAGTTAAGTGCCACTGGGGCGCCACTCGGTTCAATCCCTGGTACCAAAAAAACAAAACTTTGTCCTTTTGAATAGGCATCATTTAGCCCTTTGACTCTACCTGCCTTTGTGAGTATGGTGTATGTGTGTGCTTTTTGTTTGTTTGTTTGTTTTTGTTTTAGTTTAACTTGATTTCTCTTTTCCTTTTTTTTTTTAGTGTATTACAGTTATACATAATAGTGGGATTGGTTCATTTTGATCCTCCCATAAATGTCATAAATACAGATAACAATTTTCTCCACTTCAGTCCCAAGTACTACCCTCCTCCTTCCCTGTGACCCCATTCCCCTACTCTTTTGGTAGGTACTCTTATTCCTTCTATTTATTTACTTTTTAAGTGATGCATTATAGTTATATATAGAATTTGGAATGCATTGTGGTATATGCACCTGGTATAATTTGGTCCATTTTATTCCCCAGTTCTTCTCCTTTGCCTCCTCCCCGCTCCTCCTTGGTTCCTCTTTCTACTCTACTGGTCTTCCTTCTGTTTTCAAAACATCCACTTTTTTTATTCCTTTTTTTTTTTTCTCTTTAGTGTCTGCATGAGAAAGAATTCTCTTTTTCTTATGTAGGAATTGTGGGAGACCAGAAATCTATGCTGCTGCTATCATCATATTCTCAGAACCTAATTCTTCCATATTTTGAAATTACATATTGTCTCTGTCTCTCTGAGCTTCCTTCTAAATCATTTTTAGCTCTATCTTGCAATTCACTTACTTTTCTTTCATCTGTGTCTTATATTTGGTATTTTAAGACCTTTTACTTTTTGAGTGAGGGGGCCCAGCTCAGTGATAGGCCCTGCATTTGAGCCCCAGCTCCAAAAAAGAAAAATATATGTTTTATTTTTCATTTCTAGGAATAGTTTTGTTCCTTTTTAGCCATACTTCAATGATTTTATAATTTCTGGTTGGCTTTTCACATTTTTTTTTTGAGAGAGATCTCACTAAGTTGCCTGGTCTGGCCTTGAACTTATGACCCTCCTGCATTAGCCTCCTGAGTAGCTGAGATTATAGGTGTGCAGCACTGTCTGTGCCTAGCTTGACTACTCATACTTTTAATCATGTCAATGTTTGTTCTTTCTTTCTTTGGTACTGGGGATCAAACACAGGGCTTTGTGCATGCTAGGCAAGTGCTGTACCACTGAGCTACACCCCTAGCCCTTATTTATTTCTTTAAGTATATTGAACCTAGTGGTTTTATATTTTATCTGAAAATTCCCAGTATTGGACATATTTGCTAGACTCTGATATTTTTGCTGCTTCTTGCTCATGAGACCTTGTTTCTTTTTGTGCTTAATGATTTTTGACTGAGCTGCCCATTTCCTTGGAAATTTCTTTATAAGAATTAGAGGGTTTGGGGCTGGGGACGTGGCTCAAGCGGTAGCGAGCTCGCCTAGCATGTGTGCGGCCCAGGTTCGATCCTCAGCACCACATACAAACGAAGATGTTGTGTCCGCCGAGAACTAAGAAAAAATAAATAAATATTAAAATTCTCTCTCTCTCTCTCTGTCCCCCTCTCTCTCACTCTCTCTTTAAAAAAAAAAAAAAAAGAATTAGAGGGTTTGGAGGGAGTAGTTGTTTTGTTTTGTTTTGTTTTGTTAGTTTGTTTTTGTAGTTGCTGTTGTTGTTGATACTGGAGATTGAACCCAGGGATGCCTTATACTGAGCTACATCCCCAGACCTTGATATTTTTTTTATTTTGAGACAGGATCTCGCTAAGTTGCTGAGGCTGGCCTCAAACTTGCGATCCTCCTACCTCAGCCTTCCAAATCACTGGGATTACAGGTGTGTCACTGGGATTATAGGTGTGCACCACTGTGCCCGGCTCATAGGGATGTTTTAAGACATGGACTGAAGGTGGTACGTGGATGATACATGGGAGCATGTTATGTCCTTTTTTCTTGCTTGTTTTTACCATAGAAGGTATTGCACTCTGCCTGTTTGTCTTCAGCTTTTTTTTTTCTTTTCACCAAAATGTAACAGTATATCATCATACTATCATCAAGATGGTCATCATGAATTTTTGCCTTGTTCTCTGGGAACTCTAGGTGTATCCTGAATTTGAAGATCAGAGAGCTTGTTTGCCATCAGGATCTTTTCTAACTTGTTCCTCAGACAACACCATCCGCTTCTGGAACATGGATGGCAATCCTGACTCTCACTGGCAGAAAAACATCTTCAGCAATGTGAGTAGCTCCATCATGATCTGTCTTTTAGGAGGAACGAAGACCCACTTTAAGCCAGGTACAGGAGCTAGAAGGAGTCTTATAGAAGGAACTTAAATGTTAGGTTTTACTAGGGGCAAGAACCAGGAACAAAAGCAAGTCAATCTCTGTTTTGTCCCTTCCTCCTTTTTCTCTCTCTCTCTTCTGTGGTGGTATGGTCTGTCCTCTCTGATTTTCTCTGTCCCACCCCAGCTCCTGCTTGCCAGGTTTTTTTGAACATGGCCAATCCAGGCAGCTTGGCACACTTAACAGAAATGAAATTACTCCCTGAATCTTGAGTCAAAACTCCCTGTTAGGCCAAACCAGGCAAGGGCTTTCCCTCTCTAATTGACCTCCACACTGGGAGGGTTCAAGTGGGGGCTCTGGTGGATCCTGGAGAGAGCTTTGACAGAAACTGGAGAAAAATCATTTTCTGAAGATATTTAATTAGTATTGCTAGGCCAATGAGGGAGCTTTTCTGGGGAGCTGGACCTTAAATCATGCATTCATTTATTCTGCGATACTTATTAAGGTATATGCCAGGGACTTGACTACATGCTGAAGACACAGTAATGACTAAGACAGACCCTTCTTTTGCCTTGTGGCACCCACAATTCTAGTTAGGAGAGGCAGACAGTGAATCAATGATAACTGTACAAATCATGTATAATCACAAGTATGATAAGCACCATGAAAGAAAACGTAGGGTACTAGTAGGGTATTTAGCAGTATCATGGGATTTTTCTCATCTGGGCCATCAAGAGCAGCTTCCTCTAGAAGGGACAGCTGAACTGTAATATGGAGGATTAGGAGAAGCAGAAAGAAGAGAGTTCCACACCTTGGGAATAACCCATGCAAAGGCCCCAAGTAGGAAAGAATTTGGAAAACCTGAAAGAGGTCAGTGCGACTGAAACAAAAAGGCCCTTAATGCAGGTTGCATGTTGCAGATGCTTCTTTACTGCTGCCCACCTGTGATGGACACATTACATTTGGCCATAAACAATAGAAAAACTCAAGAAGTAAAAGTTTGATTGTCTGACTCATAAAAGGAGACTGGAAGTAACTCTGCTGTGTTGGTAGCTCTAAGATGCCTATAGAGACTCAAGTCTTCCACTTCTCTACTCTGTCATTTGAAGGAGTGGCTCTCATCCTCATGATCCAGTATAATTGCTGGAGCTTCAGCCATCATATCTGAGTTCCAGGCAAGCAAGATAGAAGAAAAGCAGCAYTTGTTTTTTATCTCATTGCCCAAAATGTATTCATTCACATGGCCTCATTTAGTAGCAAGGGAAACTGGAAAACAGTTATTATTCTGAGTGGTGAAGGACTCGGCTCAAAACCTGTAGTCCTAATGAGGAAGGAATAACTGGGCTCTGGGGAGACCTTCAATTCCAGAGGTGCTTCTATGCTCCTTATAGCACTAACCTCAGCCCTGTCCTTCCTGCAGACCCTGCTGAAGGTAGTATACATGGAGAATGACATCCAGCACCTGCAGGACACATCACACTTCCCAGACCGGGGCAGCGAGAATGGGACACCCATGGATGTGAAAGCTGGGGTGCGAGTCATGCAGGTCAGTCCTGATGGCCAGCACTTGGCTTCAGGCGACCGAAGTGGAAATCTGAGGCAAGTGGGCCTTGGCAGTCTCTGGTGTGCACCTCCCAGCTCCAGCTTGGGTTCTCAAGGCAGTAGGGAGGAGCCCTGATCTTGGCATCTCCAGCTGCCCATTGGAAATGAGGGACTGTGAGTAGTAATCAGCCACTCCTGAGAACTTAAGCTGGGAGGGGGCTTCCAGAAGGATGGAGATCAAGACAACTACCAGGACCTCAGCAGTGAGCCATGCACTTTGTCTACACAGTGATAGGCAAATTCATGTGACTCTAGGGCAAAGTGACACTTTCGCCAGCCATGTGGCACCAATGATGAAATGTCAGGGGGCTACTGGTGGCCCTGAGAGAGGAACTAAGAGGGTGGGGCATGTGAGGGCTCAGCCTGTTTACCCACCTGCCGAAGTATTTTAATAGATGCTGGCAGAACATGAGCCCTGTTACAGGGACCAGGTTTAAAATGACAAAGGACAGTTGTGACCATCTGGGTGTTTGAATTACTGGAGGATGAAAGAGACTTGGGAGAACTGGAGAGCTTGTGCCCCATAGAGGTAGCTACCATGAAGCACCTGGAGGGCAGGCTAAAAGTTGTCCTGTCTTCTCACCAATAAGAGTGGAAAGTGAAAATTTTTTTCTGTTAAATTCTGTGATTTTTAAACACTGGTAACTGTTGTGATATCATGCACTGTGTGAGGAAGGAATGTGGCTCTGCTATGAATGGCAGAACAGTAACAAGAGCCAACACAGGATCAGCACTGTTGTCCTGTGCCAGTGCCTGAGCACTGTGTGTATCAACTTGCTTAATCCTCTCACTGAACGCCCCCATCCCCTGCCCCACCATGTAAGTGCTCTTTTAGCTGTTTTTCAAATGAGTGAACTGAAACCAGAGAGGTCAAGTGGCTAGGCTAAAATCACACAGAATGACAGTGGAAGAGCCAGAATGACCTGTTGACTGATTCCACTTGGAGAAAATGAAAAAAGTCTTGATTTAAAATGAGTCTAGGGCTGTGGCTGTGGCTGTGGCTCAGTGGTAGAGCACTTACATGAGGTACTGGGTTTGATCCTCAGCACCACATAAAAATAAATAAATAAAATAAAGGCATTCTGTCCATCTGTAACTACAAAAAAATTTTAAATGAGTCTAGAGCCAGGCACGGTGGCGCACGCCTGTAATCCCAGCAACTCAGGAGGCTGAGGCATGAGGATCATGAGTTCAAAGCCAGCCTCAGCAAAAAGCGAGGTGTTAAGCAACTCAGTGAGACTCTGTCTCCAAATAAAATACAAAATAGGGGGGCTGGGGCTGGGGCTCAGTGGTGGAATGCTTGCCTAGCATGTGTGAGGCTCTGGATTTTATCCTCAGCACCTCATAAAAATAAATAAATAAATAAATAAATAAAAGGTATTATGTCCATCTACAACTAAAAAAAATATATTAAAAAAATACAAAATAGGGCTGGGATGTGGCTCAGTGGCCCAGTGCCCCTAAGTTCAATCCCCAGTACCAAAAAAAAAAAAAAAAAGAGAGAATGAGTCGGGCATTGTGATACACGCCTGTAATCCCAGTAACTCAGGAGGCTGAGGCAAAAGGATCGAAAGTTTGAGACCAGCCTCAGCAAAAGAATGAAAGTCTTGATAATGTCCCCAAGTCCCATCAGAGATCACCTCTAATGCTGTCCTGCACAAATGCCTATCCCCCTGAAGACTGTCTTTGTTCCCTGGGGGTATATTTTGACCCATGAATCACAAGGGACTGGTGCCTGCTGAAGTCTCAATGACTCAATGCTGCTCCCTTTACAATGGCTGGGTTCTTGATGAGATCATGTTGGGCATCGTTATACTAGTTGGCATGAAAGGGGACTCCAACGTTGCCTGCTTGGCTGTTCTGACCTTTTCCAGCAGTAGCAGAGCACCTGGGGTTGGAGGTAGGGGCTCCAGGCAGGGAACATGGTCAGTCTATGTCTTCCAGGATCCACGAGCTGCACTTCATGGATGAGCTGGTCAAAGTGGAGGCCCATGATGCTGAGGTGCTGTGCCTGGAGTACTCCAAGCCTGAGACAGGTGAGCTCACAGCAGCTAATGGGAGAAAGAGGGGCAGCTCCCTAGCAGGAATGGGTAATTGATATCTGGTGGGACTGTGGCTGACAGCTGGGAATCCTATGTTTAGTAAGGGCCCAGGTTGCTGGAGCCTGGGACCAGGGTGGCTGGGTTTCCACAAAGCAAGACACCTGCAGGGCTTAGCTCAACCTGCTTCTGTTGTCCCAACATCCCCAACAATGCCCAAGCTGGAGAGACGAGTGAGTGAGCGTCTGAATGAACTCATCCTTTACTGGAGAAGATAGAGTGATTATTGGGCATTATTTTGAAAAAGCTTGAATCCCACATAAAAAAAAATTGCAAGAATATTATAATAATTACACACATACCCTTCACCCAGATTCGTGTGTTTTTCTTTTAAATTTATTCTAACCCTCTCATTAATCATATAACTTYCTCTGCTTTCCCTTTCTCCATTTCTTCCTTGTGTATATACGTGTATGTACTTCTCATATATACATGTGTTTACATATACACATATTTATGCATAAAGTAAGATGATAATATATATAGGTATCATTCTCTTTTTTTATACCTTTATGTATTTATTTTTATGTGGTGCTGAGGATTGAACCCAGTGCCTCAGACATGCTAAACAAGTGTTTTACCACTGAGCTACAACCGCAGCCTATCATTCACTTTTTTTAAAATATGACAGTGGAATGCATTACAATTCTTATTACACTACTTTTTTAAGAAATTTTTTTGTAGTTGTAAATGGATAGAATGTCTTTATTTTTTTATGTGGTGCTGAGGTTAGAACCCAGTGCCTCACAAAATCTAGGCAGGCACTGTGCTGCTGAGCTATAGCCACAGCCCCTATCATTCACTTTGGTGGACTATTTGAGAATAAGTTGCAGGCATGATGCTCCCACACCCTCAGATGCTGGGAACATTTCTTAGGAAGGAGGACATCCATATACATAACTGTAGTGCACTTATCAAATCTGGGATTTCACTTTGATACTGTGCTGTCATTGTCTGTGGTCCTTATTCATATTTTGCCAGTTGTTCTAATATTGTCCTTTATAGCACCCCTTGTTTTTCTAATCCAGGTTCACATTTTAATTGTCTCAGATTTTTTATTGCCTTTATTTTGGAACATGTCTTTTTTATCTCAGCTTTCTGCAGAGTACAGGCCTGTCATTTTGTAGAATTTCCCACATATTTAGTTTCTCTGTTTTCCCCACGACTTGATTCAGATGATACATTTTTGGTAGGAATTCTGCATAGGTATAGTTATGTCCTTTAATGTTACTTGATAATCTTTCCCACCATCTTTTCTCATTCTTCCATAATCCACACCCTCTATCCACCAATTTTTCTTTACATCTCTATTGACTCTTACACTTTTTCTGAGCTTCCCTCCTGAGGTTGTATTAGAATTTTGCCAGTTRTTATAATATTGTCCTTTATAGCATCTTTGTTAGGCCTGAGCCACACTATGACAGGTAGGCACTATCTGAGGAGGTCCAGTAGGGAAGGCAGAAGGAGTATGGCAGCAGACAGTCAATAGTGCCCTAATGAGCACTTTTTTTTGTTTTGTTTTTGGTACTAGGGATTAAACCTAATTATGCTTTACCAATTAGCTACATCTGCAGTCAGAGTCCAGAATGTGTTGGGGAGGGCGGTATTTTCTGATGAGGCTGAAAGGGTGCCAGGTCTTCACATGGATGCCAAGGAACTGGACTTGGTGGGGGTGGTTCTGGGCTTTGTCAGAATGGCTACTGTGGACATTTGTTGGGGGGCGGGGGGGGGGCGGGAGCATCCATGGTACTCCCTGAACTGATGGTAAAAGCTTGGGTGCTCTGGAGAAAGACTACCCAGTGCGGAGGGCATGGGCCTTTCTGGCTTTGGGGCAAGTTGGCTCCATCTCTGGGTTAATAAACCCTTCTCCAAAGACTGGACAATCCAGTCACACTGCCCTTCTGGAAGGCCAAGGCATCCAGTAAGCCTTAGGGAACCCAGGTTCATCTTCTACCCACAGGGCTGACCTTGCTGGCCTCTGCCAGTCGAGACCGACTGATCCATGTGCTGAATGTGGAGAAAAACTACAACCTGGAGCAGACCCTGGACGACCATTCTTCCTCCATCACAGCCATTAAGTTTACTGGTGAGCCCCATCCTTCCTGCTTCCTGTCCCTATGCAAGTAACAGCAAGAACTCTGTCTAGCTTAAACAGAGAAGGAGAGACAAGCTTTGCATTCAGGGCACAGCTGGATCCAAAGACTGMATTTTTTAGGTTTTTGTTTGTTTGTTTATGAAAATTAATACCCACAGATTATATTTACAAAGTGAATTGGTCCAGGTGTGGTGGTATATGGTGATAGTCCCAGTTACTATGGAGGCTAAGTCAGGAGGGTTTTTTTGTTTGTTTGTTTTGTTTTTTGTACTAGGGATTAAACCAAATTATGCTTTACCAATTAGCTACATCTGCAGTCCTTTTTATTTATTTTTTATTTTTTTGGTACTGGGAATTGAACTTAACCACTAAGCTACATCCCCAGCTCTATTTGGTATTTTTTTATTTAGAGACAGGGTCTCACTGAGTTGCTCAACGTCTCACCGTTGCTGAGGCTGGCTTTGAACTCATGAGCTTCTGGTCTCAGCCTCCCAAGCCACTGGAATTACAGGCTCCTTTTTTTTATTTTGAGACAGGGTCTCACTAAGTTGCTGAGGCTGCCCTTGAACTTTTGATCTTCCTGTCTCAGCGTCACAAGTCACTGGGATTATAGGCATGCACCACCACCCCTGACCTCCAGAAGAATCTTTTGAACCCAGGAGTTTAAGATGTTACTGGACAACACAGACCCTATCTTAAAAAAAAAAGAAAGAAAGAAAGAAAGAAAGAAAAGAATATTTTCTTTTTCTGACTCTTCAAAAAAAATTATGATTTCACTTTGGTTTTATGTCACAATAGATACGAAATACAAAGCATTATATAGATCCTCAAAGTAGAATAAAAAGGGAACTTTTTCAAATCCTAAAATTTAAAAAGCTCTTTCCARCCCCTGTATGCTGTGAAACTGGTCTGCAACTTATATCCCTGAGTTACAGACAAGCTGCACACGCCCTGCCATATATGGACTATTGTGTTCATATGACCTGACCATTGTTACCCCATGTTGTGTGCTCTTTACTTCTGTGTCATGTTGAACATTTCAACGTCTTGTTCAGTCATTTCTCTTCTCACCTTCAGGTCTGTCTTGTCTCTCTGCTATGTCTTTGCTGGTTGCTGTTGTACCCAGGAAGAGATTTCCCCTCTTCCTCTCAATTTTGGCAGCAATTGTGGGCTGAATTTCCTTGTCCTGACTTGAAGCAACTGACTTCCCAGAAACAATTATTGGTGTCAGGGCTTGTTCTCTTGGTCTAGGTCTGTCTCCTGTGGCCCCTGTCCCCACCTGCTTCTACCCTCTGATCCCCGAGGATCAGCATTAGGAGAATGCTGGTACCCAAAAGGAAATCAGAGTGCTAATCCACAAGAGGGAAGGATGGGCATTTATAACTTTGGCAGAAAAATAGATAATATTAAGGATTGCTAGAGGTAACTTCTGTGCTAGGCAGTGATTTTTGCATTCTGTGAACTGGATAGACATTGACTCCTCCCAGCATTTATCCTCTTCTTCCTGAATTTTATAGAGATAGCCACATAGCCAGAAAGTACAGAGCCTAGGATTTTGCCCAAGACTGTTCGCCAAAGCCCACATTCAACAGGAAATCAAAGGGTCTCTCACAGGACTGGAGAGATTCAGTATGGAGATCYCTGTCCCTAAAGTATTCCCAGGGAACAAGAAGCAGGCCCTGTAGGGTTTAATTGATAAAACCCAAGAACATGTTAAAACTATATTCAAGGGCACTGAGGGTGTAGCTCAGTGATGAAGCACTTGACTAGCATGCGCAAGGCCCTCTGTCCCCAGTACTGGAGGGAAAAAGAACATGAAAATCTGTATCCAAGAGGAATCTATTCATGGAGAGAATATATTAACTGACTCTACCTTCCTGACTATGAAGATTATTCACATATAATCTTGTGAATGAAAAAGTATTGATGTCCTTTGGTCTTCTCCACTTCCTGTCCTACCTCTCTAGCTGAGGGGTAGAGGAGCTKGGCAGATAAGTTAAAAGTGTTTGATAGATTTTGACAAAGGCTTAACAAAAGCCTTTGGTCAGATGAAAGTTTTTAGACATCTTTTTTTTTAATTTTTTATTTGTAGTTGGACASAATATCTTTATTTTATTTATGTGGTGCTGGGGTTCAACCCCAGGGCCTCGCACGTGCTAGGCGAGCGCTCTACCACCGAGCCACAATCCCAGCCCCCTTTTTTTTAGACATCTTTAGAAAACATTTGAACCATCCTATTCTATAGGATATAGGTAGTTAGAATAAATCAGTAAATATAACAGCTTGATCAGCTGTTAGGTCCACCCTTAATAAATAATGGTCTAGATCCAGGAGAATTACTGACTGGCTAAGGGGGTAGCCGGGAGTCAGTCCTTAAGGCCATTTAATGAAGGTCATGGCCCTTCACTAGAACCCCTGGCTAATCTAAAAGGATGCAGACCCTAAACTAGGCTCCTGAATGCCCTGCTTTGGCTGGTCTGGTTCCCCCGGGGGCAGTGCTCAAAATCTTGATCAATAGTATAAACTGGGCCCTGGCTACTCAAAACCTGTAAGAAGCTGCCCTGCTGAAGGCTTAGCCTTTTCACTGTCTTCTGTGAAATATGTCTAAAGAAGTGAACAAATGTATGTAGTTTACAGCATAATATGAGAAATCCCCATTCAAGTTCATCGTCCACAGGTCTGAGCTGCTACAGATTGCAACCATTGTTTATAGCCAGAGACTATTCTGATCTCCAAGTAGTTTTTATTGGTTCTCAACCTTACCACGGCTTCTATTCTATAAAGATATGAGAATACTAAAAACAGGAACCTTTATTAGGCTTACCACATGGCAGCCCTGTTACAAAGGCTTCACATAGCTCTATAGGAGAGGAACTGTTATTAGGCCCATTGAAGCCAAGGCACAAAGAGGAAGCCTGGGTTCCAAGCACAGCACAAACAGCCTTGACTCCAGCACCAGAGGATGCCTGTGTTCAGTCCTGGCCCTGCCCTAGTTGTCTATGCACCTTGGGACAAGGACTTTGTGTCTCTGAGCCCCATTCTTTGTACAGTGGAGTGGATGGTGAGTGTTAATTCAGGTCGATCAAACAAATATATGAGGCCTAGCCTAAGGTTAGTGTGGGTGTTCTGATTGTTTGGGTTTTTTTTTCCTCCTCAGGTGCTGGGAATTGAACCCAAGGCCTCACATGTGCTAGGCAGGTGCTTTACCACTGAACTACATCTCGAGCCCTTTTTTGTTTTATTTTGAGATGGGTCTCATTAAGTTTCCCAAGCTAACCTTGAACTTGCAGTCCTCTGCCTGAGCTCCCCAGTAGCTGGGATTACAAGCGTGTGCTGCTGCAYACTGCTCCTGTTTATCTTGATGGCACCAGCCTCCTGGCCTGTCTTCCACTTGTACGTTATGCATTCTCACCTCCATTCCGCTGTTGCAGTCACCAGAATCACACATTGGGAGCTGGGCGTGGTGGTGCACACCTTAATCCCAGCAACTTGGGAGACTCAAGCATGAGGATCACAAGTTCAAGGGCAGCCTTAGCAACTTAGCAAGACCCTATTTCAAAAAATAGGCTAGGGGTGTAGCTTGGTGGTAGAGCACCCCTGGGTTCAATCTTCAGTACCACGAAGAATAGAATCAAACAGGATAGATTCTGTATTGGAGATGGTAACGCTTCTGAGTCCCTGGTCTGTTTCCCTTTATGCCTTTGCTCTGCAGTGACCTACCTTGCCCATAGCTTCATCTGTGCCCCCTCATGTACAAAGCTCATGTCTTACAGAGTTTCATCTAGGCTCAGCACCCACCTCACCTCCAGGGAGCCCACCTTGATCCAAAGTTGCTTGATTGCCCTTGCTGTAGAGTTGTCTAGCTAGTCCCTCCTTTACCATGTGGCCCAGCCCTTGCTAACTCTCTGTCTTCTCCTCTCCCAGGCAACAGAGACATACAGATGATCAGCTGTGGGGCAGACAAGAGCATCTATTTTCGCAGTGCTAAGAGGGTAGGGTGGGGTGAACTCTTGGGGGTGTGGGGGGAGCTTGTCGGGAGTGTCCACTGAAGGTCTTTCCTGCTCTGCCAGTCCTCGGATGGACTACACTTTGTCCGCACCCACCATGTAGCAGAGAAAACCACCTTGTATGACATGGACATTGACATCACACAGAAGTATGTGGCTGTGGCCTGCCAGGACCGCAATGTGAGGTGAGAAGCTTCCCTGCACCCTTTGTTGTCCTGACCTGGGCTGGTTTCTGAACAGGCCTATAAGGGACCTCACTGGGTTCTGTCTTTTCCATAGCTGCCTGCTTTCCTCCCTACCTGGCCCCTAAGTAGCTGGGAGGGGAAGGAACCCAGCAGGTGTTTTTTAGAAGCCAGGCTTTTCTAGGCTTAGTCAGTAGGTCCACYGAGGGCTTCCTTTAGACTCTCCTGGGAGCCTGTGTGGAGTGACTGAGAGATCATAAACTCAGTCACCCACCTTCCTTAGCCCTTCCTGGGCTAGACAGTGCTGGGGTCATGGCAGTGACCCTTTTTCATAGAGCTCACAATCTACTTGGAGGACACAGTCATATCATCAGGCAGTAACAGTGCAGAATGGCTAGGAGTAAGACAAAGGGAGCCCAGGGGGCTTTGGGGGCCCTAGGGAGATACCCAACTCCACCTGAGATCAAGCAGAGCTTCCTGGAGGAAGGGAATATAAGAACTGAGCTGGGGAAGATGTGTCCTCCATCTCCTTCATGGGCTTATTCAGATTGGGGGCCAGACACTAAGCTTTCTGTATGGAGGGCCCATGGACACTAACAGCAGATTGCCTCCACAATCTCAGATTGAGGCAGGGTTTCAGTTCAGGCAGCAGACGGGGTAAGAAGCTGCCAGGGGAAAGGAAGGCAGTAGGAGCCAGAGGGGAAATGGGACTGGCATGAGGGCGGGGCCCTCCTCATGTCTCCACATCATGTCCCACTCCCCAGGATCTACAACACAGTGAATGGGAAGCAGAAGAAGTGCTACAAGGGCTCTCAGGGCGATGAAGGATCTCTGCTGAAGGTAAGTAGTGGGGGCTCTGGGATGGGAGCCACACACCTCCTCCCCCACCGAGGCCCCTGTCTGCTGCCTTATGATGATGCCCTGGGCCAAGAGTCCACGCAGAGTGGATTGTCAGTCAGCGGGGTCTGGGATGTTTCGCCCAGGCCTCACAGAGGGATGAAGTAGGCAGCCTGAATGACATGAGAGGACTTTTCCTGGTAGGTCCACGTGGACCCTTCAGGCACCTTCCTGGCCACGAGCTGTTCTGACAAAAGCATCTCAGTGATAGACTTTTACTCAGGAGAGTGCATTGCCAAGATGTTTGGTCATTCAGGTGAGTGTGCCTCACTGCCTGCCCCAACTCCCTTGCCACCCACAGCCATGACTCAGACACATGGGTGGCTTCTCTTTTTGCTTGCAGAAATTGTTACCGGCATGAAGTTTACTTATGACTGTCGTCATTTGATCACAGTATCTGGAGACAGGTGGGACTACCCTGGAGGCCATCCCTAGCTGTATCCCTCTGATTGGGGAGAGGGTGGGACCAGCAGTACTATGTTCACAGCCTCTTCACAAAGAGCATTTCTAAGCTTTCCAACTCACTCCCATCTTGGACAATGTACATTTTGGTTTTCACACCCAGCCCTGAATTCAGACTCTAGATCTGTCACTTATTTTCTTATAACCTAGTCATTTCTCCATTCTGAGCCTCGCTTTGCTCTTCTGTAAGAGTTGATACTTCTGCCTTGAAAATTGTATAAGAATTGACTGGGAGCCAGGCACCACCAGTGGCTCATACCTATAATCCCAGTAGCTTGGGAGGCTGAGGCAAGAGGATCACAAGTTCAAAGCCAGCCTCAGCAAAAGTGAGCTGCTAGGCAACTCAGTGAGACCCTAACTCTAAATAAAATACAAAATAGGGCTGGGGATGTGGCTCAGTGGCCGAGTGCCCCCAGAGTTCAATCCCTGGTACCCCCCCCCAAAAAAAAAAAGAATTGACTGGGATTCTATATGTAAATTTTGTAGCATGTGGTTGGTGCCCAAGGAAGTCCCTTTTGTCACACCCTTAAATTTACCACATTTCTTCCCCGGAGCCCCTTTCCTCAGGTCTTGAGGCCCCCAGAGAAGGCACTGATTTGCTGGGATGTCCTAGACCCAGACCAGAGTGTAGATCCAATAATCCAGAGCCTCTGGGGAATGGGGTCTTAACTCTGGTGACTCTGGTGACCTTTGAGGTCAGATGTGGCAGTGGCTCCCATGTTCATCTAGTCCTTCTTCCACATCTCTCCTTTGCCTGTGCAGCTGTGTATTCATCTGGCACCTGGGCCCAGAGATTACCACCTGCATGAAGCAGCACTTGCTGGAGATCAACCACCAGGAGCAGCAGCGGCAACAGCAACCCAAGGACAGGAAGTGGGGCAGCCACCCCAGGTCCTGGCAGCCTCATCCAGTCCCCAGGGATCCCTGGAGGAACGATGTGGGGACATGACCAGGGCCCAAACAGCAGCCCTAGGCCCTGCCCTAGCACACTCACAGCCTGATCAAGGAGACAAACGTTGAAAACAAAGTTCTAAACACATATGAGAAGAGTTTTGAAGCACAGAATCAATGTGCTTGGCAATCCTCTGAGCACTGTGATACTGTAATGGAGGAGCCCCAAGGGTCTGGGGAAACCAGAGGGTCCCTGACCCAGCAATGATGGGGAGAGGGTAATCAGGGGAGAGTACAGCGGAGCTGAGTGTCCTCTTACTCTCAAAAAAAAAAAAAAAAAAAAAAATTCCTTCACTTACTTCTTTGAGTCCTTCAAACATATTTCTTTGAAATATTCATGCTATAAACCAACTTTATTTAGAGCAAACTCAGGCTCTAGTTTTTTGTTTGGGGTGGGAGAGTTTTTTGATTTGGTTTTTGTTTTTTCTTTTTTGTGTGGGGCACTGGGGATCAAACCCAGAGCAATGTGTAAGTGGGGCAGTCACTCTGTCCCTGAGACATCTGCAGCCCAATGGTGGGATAATTATTTTGAGCAGGAAGATTTTTTGGTTTTCCTCTCTGGTACCTCTGGATCTATCTCTATCTGTGCTTCTCCTCCTGGATGATTTGCCATTACCTCCATGTGGACTCCCAAGGCCCCATGGGGACCAAGCCTTGACATGGGGCACTGGTCCTGAGGTGGCACTGGAGTGTCACAGACTTAGGTATCAAGGGAGTGGGCAGCTTCTTTGGCTCTTGGTTTTTTTTGTTTGTTTTTGTTTTTGTTTTTGTTTTTTTAAAGAGAGAGTGAGAGAGGAGAGAGAGAGAGAGGGAATTTTTTAATATTTATTTTTTAGTTCTCGGCGGACACAACATCTTTGTTTGTATGTGGTGCTGAGGATCGAACCCGGGCCGCACGCATGCCAGGCGAGCGCGCTACCGCTTGAGCCACATCCCCAGCCCCTGGCTCTTGGTTTTGAGGCTCACACCCCACCGTGGAGCTCCGGGGCCCACCTTGTCCAGCATGATTGAGCCTCTCATACTCAGAATTGGCAAAGCTTCATTGCTTCCACCTGAAGGGAACTCAGTGACACAAGACTGTGACCTCATTGTCTGCTTTGTGTGTCCCATTGCTGTATTCTCAGAGAGTCTTGTCATCAAACCCAGCCTTTATCATATCTCATTTATTATATGTTTCTAGTGGAGAGGATGTGTCAAGTTTAACACCTCTTGGCACCATCTTGGCTGGAAGCCAAAACTATGTCCCTGTGGAGCTTAGTACAGGGCCCGGGTCTAGGCAAGTCCTCCCACTTCACCTCATTTGCTTATATTTCTCTCCTTTCATCCTTCTTCCTGTCTTTAGGCAGGAGACATATGCATCCATGCCCAGTGAGATTCTGTCCTTAAGCCCTGGAGAGCAGACAGAAGATGAGATGGAAGAGGAGTGTGAACCAGAGGAGCTGCTGAAAACACCCTCCAAAGAGAGCTTGGATCCAGGTTGGGGAAAGGGCCTGTCTTCAGGGGCCTATTTTGAATTGTCAGCATAGGGAATCATTGCTGGGGGGGTCTGGCCCACTACCATACTTGTCACTAGAGCTGTTTGTTCTCTTTTCATGGATTCCATATGTCCTTCCAGATCCTCAGTGCCTACTAACCAATGGCAAGCTGCCACTCTGGGCCAAGCGGCTGGTGAGTCTTCTGGGAGAGTCGAATGCCTAGGGGCTGCAAGGAGGGGCCTCCCCATCTTCCTGTTCCTTCTAGGAACCCTTCCCAGGTCTTTCCTTTGCTTGGAGAACCTCATTGTCCTTCCAGTTTCAGCTCCGGCATTGTACTGGCTGTTGGAGATAAGCAGTGATCGAGGCACATAAAAAGCTCACCCTTCTCAGTCTCACTTGCTAGTGTGGGAGAGGGACAGTAACCACATTAAATAAGTAAATTATGTAGTATGTTGAGAGCTAATAAGTGCTGTGGAGAAAAAGATATTAAGAAGGAAAATAAGGTCAGTCATGGTGGCACATGCCTATAATCCCAGCAGCTCCGGAGGCTGAGGCAGGAGGATCGTAAGTTCAAAGCCAGCCTCAGTAACAGCAAGGTGCTAAGCAACTCAGTGAGACCCTGTCTCTACATAAAATACAAAATAGGGCTGGGGATGTGGCTCAGTGGTCGAGTGCATGTGGATTCAATACCTAGTACTAAAAAAAGATGGAATGAACAACAACAACAAGATGGAATGAATGTTGACTTGGCTGGGGCTTGTAGGTTAGAAGCCAACAGCAGAATCCTAACATCTAGGTTGGGGAGTATTTCAGGAACATGTCATACCTCAGGTCTAGGCATAAATGCCAGCTCCTCAGAGAGCATCCTTTTCTGCAGACCAGGTCAAGGCACCTAGCCATGCTCACTCAGCCCCCCACCCAGCTTCTTGTGAACACATATTACAGTTAGAATGACATTCAACAAATATTCATAGCATGCTTTCTCTGTTTTAAGCCTCTTTTTTTTTTAATTTTTTTTTTTAAGAGAGAGAGAGAGAGAGAGAATTTATTTATTTATTTATTTAGTTTTCGGCGGACACAACATCTTTGTTGGTATGTGGTGCTGAGGATCGAACCCGGGCCGCACGCATGCCAGGTGAGCGTGCTACCACTTGAGCCACATCCCCAGCCCATAAGCCTCTTTTTTTAAAGTACTTTTTTAGTTGTA